ACATTTGAACCAGTTAACCGATAACTGTGGATGAAAAGCTCAACATTAACGGGTCTTCGACTTTTATAACATTTTATAGTGACACTCTATCACAATAAACAGGCTTCTTCGCACAGAAAAGAATTTGTTCATGCTTTTAGCTGTGCGTATATCGAGTTATGGATGCACGCGGGAAGTTTGGAGAGCCCTCAAAAAGCTAGAGTAGCTCTCCGCTGCGCCTCGAGCTACTCTACGCACCTTTCGTGCTCTCCAAACTTCCCGTGGGCATCCATAACTCGATACTGATACGAACGATAAGCATTTACAAATTCTTAATTTAAATGACTTTGAAACCTTTTAGACATCACAGCTTATAAAACAACACACCAAAAGCAAACGCTGAAACTTTTATTTGCATTCTGCCGGATTCAGTCCGTCAACAGTCTTCCGAATAATCTCAAGTGGCGATTCAGAGCAACTTCCGGTGAAATCATTGTTTTAGTTTACATGCATAACCATTGATCTTTTGACTATGAACGTTGACATTTTTTACCTGTTTTTTTAAATAAGGCTGGCTACCCTGGTACGGTGCAGGACCGTACAGCTTCCATTTTTGTTTCTTTTCCCTGGCATGTTCTTTAACATATCATTTTGGCCGGAAAACAGCTGAAGTTGAAATATGATTAATCCCACCCACATCACGTCGTTTGCAAGTTAAAGGTGATTGTTCTAGATATGGTCACATTCTAAAGAAAGATCACTTATCAATGCAATTAGGGTGAAGGAACTTCCAGTGCCAACGGCAGCGTTTCAGGCGACACGCACGAAACTTCGAGTTCACGGCCTATTGAAATTTCTCATCTCAGTTTGAGCTGACAAATATTTAACTTGTTTTGCGTCCATGTAAAATAATTTTTGCCAAGAGCGATTGATCAAATGCAAATTAGTCGAACGCCATCTGGAATTCATACCCGAGCGCACAACACGAAACAGTCAAAAAGACGGTTGCAGCTTTTACTTTGCTGATGGCAAAAGGTAAGCCGTTAATAGAGTAAAATCGCCTAACACAACTAAATAGGGAAATACAAAAGAAAGTTTAAACGAAAAGGTAGATAGCGTGATTACCGAAAAGTAATATTTTTAACACGTTCGCTTTTGAATTGACATGGAGTTTTTAAGAGGTCACGATTATCGTCTTCCGCACTGGCTGATGACATGTTCGACTATAATGCAGACCATAATCTCTTGTCCAGACATACTCCTGTGGCTTCAGGTGGCTTGCAGCGCCAAAGGAAACTCTTAGACTTGCCAGAAGAAGGGATTATAAACGGGATAAGCTATAGGATAGCTGGACGACTCTTACCAAGCCCCACGGAGTATAAGTATCTCTTCAGATATCTCATATCAAAGGAGACTCGGGGAATTTAGCTTTTGGATGCACATATTTTTCCTGACAATGAGAGACCTACAGTATTGAACGTGTATTTTCACTAATTTGGCACTGACTGAAACAAAGGGCGGTTTAACTGAAACTACTTTGTTGTATTCCGAGAAAATTTTTCGAGCTCGAAACTCTTTCCGAGCTAAGAGGTCGGCTGAGTTTTAAGTAGATAATTTCATATTTACAGTCGATGTTTTGGGTCCTTTAAGAATTTTTTCTAGCCAAGAAATATCAATTAGAGTGTCATGCGGTATTCAGACAATCACGCGAAATCCAACGGAAACTTGACGTTCGACCTGTGCTGACTACTGGTAATATAAGGAGTTAGATGCAATAGCGACAGTAAAAAAATATGTTCATTAGCGAGTTCGAAATGACTGCAAAAAAAAAAAAAACTTGGCATTAACCAACGCGAGCTCCTCAACTGGTGCAGGTGCAGCAGAATGATTTTTGTGGGGGCATCCTCACGTTTGGTAATGGAGGTGGCAGAAAAGAGATACGTCACTAGACTCGCCGAAATAGTAGTAATATTTCAGCAATAGATATTCTCAGAACGTTCCAAATAATGCACTTTCATTCAGAAATACTAAATATTCGTCACTTATAATTGAAGAAGTGTTTTTTGGCAATAATTGTCAGACAATAAATTTGGATTACTTAATAAAGACCTAGATTCGCCAAGGCATTATTTTCCTTGACGCTCGGAGACACGTCCTGTGATCTAGACACGTTCTTATAGGTCGCGGTGGGTTGCATAACAAGCAAAAATGTTAAGACGCTGAGACTGAATTTTCAGCATTACAGCCTTTGCAATAAAATTTCACAGGTGGACGATTCTTAGAAAATTCTTCAAATTATATTTTTAGGTCTGGGAGGAAACCTTTCAAGAAAGTTGATTTTTGCGATGCACCAGCTTATTTTGCTGATACTGATACTCTGCTTTTACTGACTTTAGTCTTAGACCAGCTGAGGTTAAAATGCTTTCGAACAATTTGAGTATTTGACATATGTCAGCGGACTTAAACGTCAGCGCGCTTTTTCCCACCGAGGTCCCTCATTACCATTTGTATGGAGCCTGATATATTTGATTCCCAGAAGTTCCCTCACGAAAACTGGACAAGTGTTGTTCCTATTTAAGAAAGAACACATTTGGTCTTCTGCATAAAATTATTAATGAACTTTTTTCATCAAATTGTTATTTCAGAACTAGTTTGTCTACTTAGAAACCGGGTTATTTCGATAAGCTATCGCTGCGAAGTTGGCGAAACACCACTTAGAGTAACTTTTTAGCTGTCGAGAAGTAAAAAATCGCCCACCGAGAATGTAATAAGAATGCTAATTTCGACTTAAAAAAAATTGTCATTTATGATCGTTTTAATTTACCTTCAATTAAAGCATGCCCTAAATGAAAGTTGATCCTCATCAACTAAATTTCGTCCGGTAACCATTGGGCGAAATGGCAAAGAGCCTTATTGAACAGAAAGAAATGCCAAATTTGATTCGAGAAAAAAGCATCATGCATTAAGGTTCAGTGAAGAGGTGGGCAGTTTCAAGGAAAAAAAACATATGAAATATATTATCTTAATGATGGCAGGTCTTCTAGCGGTAAAGACTTATTCTTTTGAAATAACAATCGCAACTGAACATGGGGGGAGACAAATGAACGAAAAAACTTCTTGTGAAGGTTGGTGTGATGTCTGTTCCCGGATATGAGATGCCAATGAAATATCATTCTCCTTGTGCCGATCAATTTGTTATACGAACAACTTGAGTATGGTTTTTAATCTCCGAAAGGGAGAACTCTTGTCTGTTACCATTTGCGGTGGAGCCTGCAGAAACCAGTTTTAGGTTGATAGAATAGCTCTATTGCAATTTGATCTGATAAATGAAAGGCTTCAGGGTTCTCAAACGCTAAAAAAAAAAATAAATGAATAACAAGACAAGACAAGACAACTTTATTTAGCCAGGGTGGCCCAATCAGCTGCGAGGCTGGTATAATTAGGGAATATATATATAGGCAGATATGAACCCATATGAAGAACATCGCGAAAGAAAGACCTCAGATCATAAAGTGTGGTGAACCACTAACAAATCACCGGAAGATCTGTGTCAATGAAGGTTTTGAGTTTTTATAAGAGAAACCCTCAAGCAAATGCCATTAGAAAAATAATTAGTTAAGGTTCATTTTGGAGTGATAAGACTTTCCTGCTATCAATAATAAAAGCCAAATTTTTTTACTGGAGTAAAACGACTTCTAGGCCTCGCTTCAAGAAGGCTTTATCGTCAAACAGCTTACGGTGGTGAATTGTAAGTTTCTTCATTTTCTTTGAATGCACTTCGCACAACTTCGTCAACGCGCAATCTTTTCGATTTTTACTCCGGTGTCGTCATATACTTTGCGAGTCTTATGCAAATTTCGCTGCGCTCTATATTTGATATTTCTCGCCTTCAAGTAGTTCTTTGTTTTTGGTTGTGAGAAATATCGCTCTCGTTTAATGGCTTTTAGCAATATTTCGGCTCCCCGAACCAACTCTCAGAATTTTGAATTTTACTTCTTCTCCTTGATCTCCTCCTTTTTCTGCTCTTTGTTGTTTTTTCTGTGCGAATGATTTATTTGCTGAAATCAAGAGTGTTCTTTCGAGGCGAGCCTTGGGCTCTCCTCAAGCGGTTATCTGAAATTTTCAATAAATTGGTAAAAGGTCCAGAAAGCGAGTCAGAAAAATCCATGGACGATTTTTTTTGAACCGCAATCAGAACGCTATCATTATCTCCAAATTAACCCAGAAAGGAAATTTATTACCTTTTCATTCTAATCTTAATTAAATCGGCTATAAAAGAAGGTGAGTGTCATCCATCATCTAAAACAAAGGTGAATTGACAAAGAAACGTCGTATAGATTAGAAATGGCTGATTCAATTCTAAAGATGGTGCACCGGTTTAGAGCGAACTAAGGTGAGTAAAGATTGTTCACTTTGAAGGAGTTCGATGGAAAAGAAAATGAAAAGGAGCAAAGGCATTTAGACCGTAAAATGAAACGATGCCACAGAGTCGAAAAGGCAGTTTACTAGAGTCATCTACCAATGTTAGTTTATGATAGGCTTGTGAGTACCTCCGGTGAAATAACATACAAGACATAAAAATTGGTTACCTCAATACATATGTCCATAAAGAGGTTAGTCATATAACCTTAACTAACAATGCATGATTGAAATGAAGAGGATTAGGCCAAAAGTTATCCATTATGTGTAGTTTTCTGCATGAAGATATTTTTTTAACTCTTTGATAAATTTCCGACGATTTATATTAATTTTTTAAAGCTTTAGAATTTGATCTTTATCAACCAGTTCTGTGTTGTAGAAGTAGTGCTGATTAAAATTATTGCGGTGACCAGAAGAAAATTTTGGTTTAGTTCTATAGAAACGTTACGATGCAGTCGGAATTTATAAAAAAAACTTTACCTTTCGTATTACGTTTAAATATTAGAGTAATAAGCATTCATTATATTGCAAAATGGAAGACATCTCTTGCAAAAGACATTAAGACCTGAGGCTTCACAATAGCGATGCGGGTATCTTTTGGTAAAATTGGTCCTGTGATGTTTTCAAGGAATCTTCACAAACTACGTATCTCCAGAGACGATATTGCTCAGCGGAATTCAGAGTAAAAGAAAAAGACCAATTTTTAGCGTGGCTGAAGAAAAGAGTTGTGGGCAGTACACAACCAGCTGTCATTCCGTGTAATTAATAAGGTTGAAATTCAACTTCTGAAACAAAACTACACAGTGTTGGTCAGCAATCAGTAAGCTCTCAAAGCGAGCCAGGAATATTTTGTATTCTTATTGGCCGTCTTTCTGCAGACCTGTTGAGTCGCACAATATCGTAATTTGTCAGCCGTTCTGCATTGGCGCATGCTGCGAGGAAATTTTTTTTGCATAGGACTGAAATCCGTAATGTGTGATTCATAGATATTCTGCCTAGTTTCGTTAGAATCCGCAAATTCTATTTTATATTTTGAGAGGAAGCTTCTCGTAGCATAATTAGGAGATTTTTGTTCTTACAAATCTGTCACACAATGAAATACGTATAAAACAACCCCTGCCGTGAAAACAAGAAAAAAGCTTGATTTCGAAGTCAAACAATAGCATTACAATACCGTTCTATATTGTTAGTTTCTTCGATGCGAAATCTTAAGAAAACCAAACAAAGAACTATTCCGAAATTTAAAGAGGGGAACCGTGGAAAAATTCTTTGATTTTTAACGAGGCAAGTTTCATTCAAAAAGAATGAGTTTAGATTCTTGTTTATAACATCAAGTCGATAGCAAACCTCGCTGATTTTTAAGCACGAAGTGTGCATTATTAGTGGACAGCATTTCCAACCAGTCTCCTTTTTTTTGCACATGACAACTTTGAATGAACTAAGACAAAGATCACTAGATATTGGGACTTTACTTCCATTCATTCTCAGGTGGACCATTTACGTAAATCAAACACGTTTTAATTAAACCTTACGAAAATGCCTTCGGCGATCGAGCAAAATTAAAATTGGCACATGCTTAGAAACCATTTCGTCCAGAGATATCCAACGGCGAGTCAATGAGTTTACAGGGATTCTCAAGTTTTAATTCCTTTTATTTTCTCACAGCTCTAGGAAGGGTAAAATTGGACTGAAACTGCTCTGTCGAAAAGGTGATTCTTTGAGGAGCCACTGGTGAAGACAGCCATCTGAGACGAAACTAAAAATTACACCTCTTACGATCAGCGTAGACATGCAAGGTGAGCTTATTATCATGAGTTTTTAGTCTGTTTTTGTTTAACGACCGGAACATTGGCACAACAATAAATTTTAATTCGACCATGTACGGATGCGTTGTTGTATTGTCTCGAAATTTTTTAAGTTTTTAAACAATTCGATTTTTATCCTTAAAGGAAGAACAGCATTTGCATATGAAAGTTAGTATTTCTTTTTCTTTAGGAAATCGTTTGGCACATTGAACACACTAAAACTGTTTAAAATATAAAACATAAGTCCAATTTAAACATCAGATAAAATGCTTGCATGTTGACCTGAACCCGTTACTCTTCTAATCTTTGTTAATTGAAAAACACATATATACTTTTCGGCCCCCTGTGAAGCTAAGGAAATCATAAAAACAAATGGCTTACAATATTTATTCGACGCTCTCAAAACGATCCTAGCGAACATGTTTCCGCCAAAGTATTTCTTTACAATATTTATTAAGTCTTTCTGTACCTGAAAACTAACAAAGCATAGTTGATCGCAAAGTACCTTTCCCATTCTAGTTTTGGAAGTTTATTCTAAGGTGCCTAATAATAAGGTAACGATGAATTATGAACAGGAATAGTCAAGTCAATTCTCAACGATCTATTAAACAAGCTTTTTGTCTTTTCGCGAGCATGAGAAAAAGAAAAACTAGACGTTCCTAAGAGGAGTCAAACCCCATCCCCCATATCTCTGCTGAGTTTCAGTGAGCTTTATGTTGCCCTAGACCTCCACATAATTTGTTTTAAAACACTTGCCGGATCAGCAATGTCGAAATCGTCGTAAGTAACGCGCATGGCCGAGGTTGAATTTCTTATTCGACTTAACTGTTCTGAACAAAGAAATTCCGGTAAAGAAGGGTTAAAGCTGGGAAATTGGATCCTCGAGGAAGGCCTTTTTCCAAAGGTTATTATTGTTTTGGGGACGAACACGTCTCATGGAATGTCCATGTGAACGACATTCGCATCACAGGATTGGTACTTGGATTTCCAAGAAATTGAGTTGAGCTGGAAAATAGACTTAAAGAATGCAGCGAATATGTTGGCGCATCTGTTTAGACAGCTGTTATTCAAATCCTTGATGGTGTGACCTATTGGCGATTTTTAATTTCTTAGTTTGATTCCGCAAAATGACTGTATTCATTTCTTATTTTTAGCCTATGGAAAGGAGAAGTAAGAGATTGACGAAGTCGCTTTATTCGTGCTAAAAATGTCAGCTGTGGTCAAGAGCCCGATCTGGCTTCCAATCTTCCTTACGGAATTTCTTGTGATAGTGATAATCAACGTGCTCACTCTGATGGCCTTTGCCAGAAACCACCGACTACGTAAGCGCAGCACATATCTGGTGATAAACCTAACTGTGGCCGATCTTTTAGTGGGTTGTCTAACTAGTGCTGCGTTCTTGCTCAGCACGGACGAAGAAGGTGTTATATGGCGAAACCTCATCACATTTGCTGCTTTGGTCACATTTCCGTTTGCTGCCCAATCTAATCTTTCGCTCATTTGCCTAGAGCGCCTGCACGCGACAGTTTTTCCTTTTAGGCACTGCTTACTTGGAAGATGGTTTTATTGTAGAGTCATAACCGCCAGCTGGATTATTTCCTCAGTGATGGGCTTTGTGGTGGCGTATTTGTTCACAGAAGGTTCTTATGCCGCAGAGTTCGCATACTTGTTGGCTTCGTTTACACTATTTAATACCCTTGTCCTTATAATCTCCTACAGCATTGTTACAATCAATGTCCAAAAGAGCCCTCATGCCCAGCATCTTGGAACAATAGCCAAAGAAAAAAAGCTAACGGTGACATTGTTCATTGTCATCGGAGTTTCTGTTCTCGCCATGATGCCCGTCACCCTTTACAAGTTTCTGCCGATCGAAATACAAGAAAAACTAGCTTCAGATCGTTACCAACACGTCGGCTACGCAATAGATGTGATATATTTTACCAGTTCCATAGTAAATCCTCTTGTATACGCCATAAGGCTGAGGGAGTTCAGAAACACAATACGAAAACTTTTAGCAAGGGAAGAAGAAGCTGGTTTGGCCCTTGCATCGCGCACTGCACAATAAACTGACTTTCAGTAGAAACAGACTCGAGGACATACTACAAAGAAAATCACAGGAAAAATTTTGTGAAAACGACACTGATAGGATCAAAATGGAAAGCGAAGATTTGTGGAAAGCTGTTTCGTCCTGGCTGGGTCCCCTTCTAACGACGTATCAGCCTGAAATAGAGCAGCCTGCACCAACTCTAATGGTCCAATGAATGAAATATAACTGTTTAGATCAGAATCTTCACATATCCCAAACATATTTACAGCATTTTCATGCATGGTCCGTTGCCAGACCGTAAGCTAGCGGGTCTCAAATAAGGTTAGAGCTAAGGCGAGAGAGGTAGTGTCATCATACTGCCGCCACTCCTCCTCCCATTTAAAGCGCTATCGAAGCTATTTTGAGCTGACATTTTCTCTGAATTTATGGATCAAAGTTTTTTCTATAATAACCTCTTTTCTTCAATTTCTACGGTAGCTGGAAACTTGTGCCTTTAAAGCTCCCATAGAATTTTCCCAATTATTCACGAAACCAAACTCTTTGTGAACGACCTGTTGCATTTTGCTTTTGCTGCTAAGTTACATCCACATGAGCGCTTGAAAACAGAGATTTCTTTTTAGAAGCTATATCTGTGGTCACCGTCCTAAAGGAAAGCCACTTTATCTTAACATAATTTTGTTTTATCGACTGAGTCGATAATGTGAATTGGCCACTGCAAAGAGTTTCTAAAACTCTTTACAGTGGCTAAGTTACAACGTCTCAACGACGTAGCATCAGTGTTTATTTAGACACTCACTCGCTATTGGGTCGTTTTTAACGCTGGTGAACTGTTATAGGCGGAATCAGAAATTATGCTGTTCATTAAGACGAAAGATTTGCTTTAAATTTTCGTCAAGTCAGTAAACTGCGGTGCATGTAAATGCTTAACACTTTGACTCCCGTGTGCCTTGCTTGCCTTTGCATAAATCAAATTGAATCTGCGAGAGACGGTAAAAACGATTCCAATGCGCGTTGATCGTCTAATCCTGAAAACAAGCTGTGGTGAAACTAGAACAGTTGCCGGATAATTATATCCTTTTTCTTCCCTTTGACTCCCATGTACGATTAATTATTTTTGATTTCAGCGAATCTCTACTATATAATATTTAAAAAACTGCCCGTGAGACGTCGAAATAATCAGTTTCTACCTTTTGCACAAAAGCGGGAGCTACAATTTACCACTCGTTTTTTTCCTATTTTATCGGTTTTGCTATTGAGTAATTCACGTTTTGCGCGAGGTTCTACGCTGATCATGAGTTAAAGCGCTACTGACTACAGCTAAGAAGACAATCCTTAACGCGTGTGGCTGACGGAACGATTTCCTGACCCATCCACTCTCCTTTGTTTGTCGCCGCGGCCACCACTCTTGACACAAATTGACAAAGATATGATCAGATACAATGAATATATGAAGTTCATATATTTTGAACTGCGGTATTAAATACGTATGATGCACGATCCTTCGCAATAGATAGCGCTATTTATGCAATAACGAAAATCAGACCTGAAAAAAATCAGGCCTGTACGGGATTCGAACCACTGACCTCTGCGATACTAGTGCAGCGCTCTACCAATTGAGCNNNAAGAAAAAAAATTAAGGCAATCTGCTAAATAATACTTCTATAATATATCTTCCTTATTTTCTAATGAAGAGTAGCTTTAGTTTTGTTGATGAAAAAGTCTCCGTGAGAATCTAATCTATCTTACACTAAGGGTTTTTTTAGGTTACCGTATTGCACAGTAATTTACTGTCAGTAAACGACCACCAAGGAGTGAATGATATCGTTTACATCATAATCTACGTTAATATCAACTGATAAAAGGACAGCAGTATTACTGTCAGTAAACGACCACCAAGGAGTGAGTGATATCGTTTACATCATAATCTACGTTAATAACCTTTCGTGGCCTCACTAATGTCAGATCAGGAGCCACGCCTCCAAGAATGTTCGAAAAATGGAAAAGACACGGTGAAATTGGCGTTAAAGTGTGGGCTTTTATGGTACACTGTAAAAGTAAGAAAATAAATGGGTTTAGATCGAAAGGAAGTTGCTTTATGGTGATTTATTTTTGTTCAAATTCAAACTGCCAAAAATCCCAACTACGTGTCCACGTCTATGATTAATTGACAATACGTTTCTCATTACATGATATTCTTGTTCCTTGTCGAGAGATAGGTAGCCTACCTGAGCAGGTCAAGCAAAAAGCAAATCTTTACTTAAGAATGTCACTATGTTAAAAAAAAAAATTGGAGTTCATTCTTTGCACGCAATTAATATGTGGGTCTTTTTAAAATTACCTCTCTCAACATTAAAAAGAGTGCTGTCACGGCTTCGATGATGCTTGTTATTCAATTGCGTGACAGATCAGTCAAGTGATCGAACCGCGTTGAACGGTCCTAGTTGCAATGTTTCAGGTGTTTTCATGTCTACCAGCGCAACACCGAGAAGTGTTCTGATAGGAAACGTCACAAACATGAAACCGACTTAATTAGCAAAGGTCGCTTGTGAAAAGGAGAAAGCAGATTTGAGCACGAAACAAACTAACATGTCATGACGAGCCAAACACTTAAAAGACGAGGTCAAGAGGTGAGTCACAGCAGATTTTGTAAACGTTTCTCGACCCATTTCTGTTACGTGAACCTCTACATTTTGCTCTGGTGCATATTTAACACATTCCATTCATTTTGCTTCGCTTAACAATTTAGAGGCGCTTCACACTGGAAACTTTTAACTGCAAACATGTGAAGTGTTAATTACTTCAAAATGGCGGATACTGAAAATTGGCTTAGTCTAATTGTACAGATACAAAAGATCCCAGGGAACTAAATCGGTAGAAAGTTGAAGCTATCCTGGAACATGGCTCAGGAGATTTCCTGGTTGATTTCATGGCGTACCGCGGATATTTTTGGCACGTTTGTTTGAAGTACCAACGAATCTATTTCAGAGCAGCTGTAGGTGCACTTGAAAAAAAAA